AGGAAAGGGAGAAATCTGAATCTGAGCCAGACAGGAGGGCCTTGAAAAAAAGGAATTCAGCATGCAAAAAACACCCAAATCAAACCCAACCCCAATGTAATTTATTGTAGCTCAGGCAGATAAAAGAAGCATATAAAATAGGTTCTAAAAGAAGGTCAATTTAAGTGCACAGGCGAAATACAAACGTGTGTGTGTGTGTTTATCTTCTATTCAGTGTCTCTCCTTATCAAACTGAGGTTCAGTCATAACCCTTAAGGGTCTCTCGTCTTGTCCATCAGCTCCTACCCACACAACATCCCTCCATGGTGTCAGACTGGGAGAATGATGCAGGAACAAAGAACGACATCAAAACAGGTGGAAAGGGAGGTGGATTCACAGAGCACCACGGGCTGCCAGGTGTTTGGGTACAGACAGACACTTCAACCCTTCTGACTCCAGTGCTGCAGTGCTACTTGTTTAGCCGGCTGCAAGAGGAAAGGATGAGGTGAGTAGAGGGTGAAAGGATTCAATCAGATACCTCAAAGCTAGAAAACCCCCCCAGATTTTTGCCTAGTGTAGAGAATGGCTGCCCTGCCTCTGCAGCTGAGGATGCAAATGGTTACTTGTGCCTCCACGAGGATGAGGTTTAGGCTTCAGTTACACTGAGCTGCTTACTTGGCAAAGAGAGTTAAAGAATAGCTGTGTCAGCACTTCTCTTGCACAGATTTAGCTGGTTTTGGATGTAGCTTTATAGGATTTGTCCTCTCCTTATGGGGACTATTTTTTAATCTTGATTAAAAGTAGGTGAAAACAAGGTGGATTCTTTGAGACACATTATGATAAACAGCTCTGCACATCAATCCCAGCTCTGCAGTATTTGCCAATAAACATTCTCACTGAGTGCTCAGAGGCAGTGAAAGAAAAAATAGGTGAAACTATCATAGTTTGCCACTGTCACCAGTGAAAATGAAGCAGCAGTACAATTCTGTACCAACAAATGCATTGAACTTGTCCATGCAACCTTTTGCACTGTCCTTAGCTCTCCCCTTCCAGTGACAGAACAGCTGTCAGTGTTTCTTCACAGCTGCTTCTGATGCCTGATACCATACAAACTTGAGGACCTGGAAAAGAGCAGTTTCTCTGCTGAGAACTCCTTGCTCCCATGCAAAAGGTCAGGACAGGATGGTGCATGTCAGGCCTTTTGGAGAAGGCACAGTTCACAGTGTGCTGTGGTTTTCTCCTCTTTTTTCCTTGCTCCCAGAAGGTAATTTTTCCCAGATTTCAGCCCAGCACTGTGCTGTCAGAACTGGAATCAATCATGGACATCATGGATTTTTAAAATTTGGGATGCAACACAAAATGAATCAAGCATTCATTAAGCTCCTGAGTCTTAAACATGACTTAACATGAGTAAGAACTGAAGGTGCTGAAATGCAGCTGTGCTGTGGCATCAAGCAAGCACAAGCTCCATTTTTCCCCACTTGACCATCCAGCTCTTCTGTCTTGAAATCATAGTCTTTGCCTGTTCCAGTTACTCTCATTGCCACTTACTGTTGACACTGACATGTCTTGTTTTCCAGCAAGTACTGTCTTGCTTGTGCCATCCTTTTAGCCCGTTGCTGCCAGGAGAGAAGGGATAAAAAATGGTTGGATATTTTTATATCTCACAGGCTGAGAGAGTTGGGGCTGTTCAGCCTGGAGAAGAGAAGGCTCCAGGGAGATCTTATAGTGGCCTTCCAGTGCCTGAAGGGGCTACAGGAAAGCTGGGGAGGGGCTTTTTACAAGGGCTTGTAGTGAGAGGATGAGGGGGAATGGATTAAAACTGGAAGAGGGAAGATTTAGGTGAGACATTAGGAGGAAATTCTTTAGTGTGAGGGTGGTGAGACACTGCCACAGGTTGCCCAGGGAAGTTGTGGCTGCCCCATCCCTGGAGGCGTTCACGGCCAGGTTGGATGGGGCTCTGAGCACCCTGGTCTGGTGGGAGGTGTCCCTGCCCATGCAGGAGGGTTGGAACTAGATGATCTTTAAGGTCCCTTCCAACCTAAACCATTCTGTGATTCTATGTTTCAAATGCTTTCCTCTGAAGTGGTACTAAAGTTCTGTCTGGCATCTGCAGACTGTCCATCTCCAAGCATTTGCTTTGACCCTGAGGATGAACCCTTTCTCTGTAGTGCCCTGCAGCCAGACAGAGAAACAGACACCTCCCAGGGTGTGGGCAGACTGTGATCTCTTCCCCTCTTCCAGGAACCAGGGCACTCACCCTTCTCCGCTGCCACCTCATGGCACTGATGATGCAGAGGCACACCAGGCCAAAGACCAACACACCCCCTCCAATGGCTGTTCCCATGACCACGTAGCTCTCCCAAGCAGGAGCCTCCTCTGTGGAAGGAGAAAAGTGTTCAGAGACAATGAGAATTTAAAGCTGGAGGCAGGGACGTGATGCTCATGTCCATACCCACGGAGTAATTAAGGCTGATCTTGCTGTCCTTGTCTTCTATGAGGTGACAGTTCCACAGCCCTGCAGAACTCACATTCACCTCCAGCTTTTTTTCACCCCCCTTTGAGTTCTTGACGTCCACGTGGGTCCCGTTCACCCGCTCCCAGCGCAGGTGGGCGTTGGGTGGGAGGGAACTGGAGACCTGGCAGGTCAGGGTCATCTCGGCCCCTCTGGGTAGTGGTCCAGCAGGGCTGGCTGAGACTGTCAAGGTAAGAAAAGGACATGTGAGTAAAAAGATGGGAAGATGGGTCCATCCATACTCCTGTGGCTTCCGGGTTTCTGCAGCTCCTCATCTCTTGACCCGCTTCTGTTCTTCTTACCTTTCATCACCACCAGCTCTATCTGGCTCTCCGTGTATCTTCTGTTGTATTCCAGCTGGCACTGGTACTTCCCAGAGTGGTTGTAATGGACTCTGGGGAGTTTCACCTCTATGGTGCTTTTTGGTTTGCTCTCAGGGATCTCAAACCGCAGGTGGCTGCTTTTCTTGGTCTTATGAGGCTGTCCCTGTGCTGGGACCAGGAAATCCAGCAGCTCGTGAGTGGTCGCGCTTTTCTGTTGTTCCAAATGCACTTGCCCAGAGAAACTTTCTTTCCATTTTATCTCCTGGAAGTTCAGGTGCCATGACAAGGTGACAGTGCTATCAACAGCCGCATACTTTCTTTCCGAGTCTGGATTCTGAAAACCTGGATTCAGAAGAGAGAAGGAACAGAGAGGCAGGGAAGGCCATGGCTACACATCTCCGTGTCCACCTTGAATCTGGAGAGATGCACACTGTGCTCAGCTGAAGGACAACTTGGAGAAGAGCCACGAGATACCCCGGGAAGGATGGGCAGTATCTAAGAATAGGTTTAAAGAGTCTAAGCTCCCAAGCTCATCAGAGCTGAGAACAGACCCCAAGGAGAGGGGGAATCTTTTAGAGCAAGTCTGGAGATGGAAATGGGTGAATGTGTGGAACAGAGCTCAGGCAGCAAAGCAATACCCAAGCTGCAGTGTTGGAAGCCCTGGAAAATAAACCCTGAAGTACCAATGCTTGGGATGTTGGAGAGTAAAAGCTCAGCTGATAAGCTGGTTCCTGAGCCTATATGCAAGTTGTATTTTTGTTGCCACCTACCTAATACCTTTACATCAAAGGAGATGTTCTGATTGATCAGTGGAGAGTCCGAATGGACATGACACAGCCAGGTCCCACTGTCTGTAGCCACCAGTTGCTTTAACTCCAGTCGGTACCTTTGATGGGTCTCATCTTGTGAGACTTTCGGTCTCAATACGTTATTGTTATTGTTAAACAACGTGATGCTGAGATTAGGCAGAGGATGGGATGAATTTTGTATTAAAGTCAGCTCAGGGACTTCACTTGGCAGGAAGTGCCCATCTAAAGAGACCGTCACTGTAAAGAACAAAAGTGCAAACCAGTCAGTCAACTCCTCTTCCTCTGGGGGAAGCACAAGTGTCACAGCAAAGAGAATATGAGGACTTTGTGCCCTGGAGATGGAGGAGGAATGAACTCTGACAGCCCTGGCCAGAAGAAATGGCAGTGGGAGAACGGATCCCAGCTGGGATGTCTCTCTGAGCTCTGGGGCCTCCTGCCCCCTCCCCCCCTAAAGCTAAAAGCCCTCTCATCACTCACATTTAAAGATATGCAGTGAGACACTGGCTTGGTGAGGGCCATATTCACAGGTGTAGATGCCAGCATCAGAGAGCCCCAAGTCCCACACCCTCAGCTGTTTGCTGCTGGGGTCGATTTCAGATCGACTGGTCATGGGAGCTCTGCCTTTTGAAAAAATAAGCTGGGTTAGAAGAAGGACAGAGGCTTCTCAGCCATGTGCTGGGGAGAAGGGGTGATGAATTGGAAGCGAGCCTTACCCTTCAAATTCTCAGGTTTAAGCATCCTTATAACAGCCTTGTGGTACTTCCAGGTCACACCCGTGTGCTGAGGAGGGACTCTGCATCTCAGTGTCACCTCCTGTCCTGCAATTCCAACCTGCAGCTCCTCTTGCTGAGCCAGAACAGGGATCAGACCTGAAAGCCAATACCCACCAGGAAAGACATACACTTTCTGAAGAATGGCTCAGCAAATGCTTCCCATCCCTCCAGAAAGACACAGAAATTTCTCCTCCCTTTGCCAGATGCTGCGAAGATCAACCTCAGTTTCTGAATGTTGCACTCCTTGGGCTTGTTAATCACTATGCTTTCAGCTCCATAACTTCCCTCCCCTTTGGGCTCTTTACCTAAAAGCTGTTCTGTTTCACACCCATTCAGAACCAGGGAAAATGCCAGTGCTTGTGGTGGATGTGCCATCATTCCTACTTCTGAGATGTCAACAGTTTTACTGAAAATAACTTCTTTCCACTGGAGAATATTTTGGTGTCCTCCTGGCAGCAAGGGCAGGACAGCATCCTCCATCCCTCCCTCACTTCCCGGGCAAGACTTGAGGAAGCACTGGCAAATCTGGTCATCCCTTCTTCCAGTTTTTGCACGGAGCAAGACTGAAAGCCCAGGAAAACAAAAGGATAAAGTAAAAATAGCAAAGAAAAAATGCTGGCCCAATGTCAGGTTCCTGCTCTTGCGATGAAGTAGGATGTATAAGGCTGAGAAAAGATTAGGAGTGGTTTCTTAGAAGAACCACTTCCTTTCCTTCACAGTAAAGAGGATTTCTGCAGGAGACTGTAAGAAGGAGATGGAGTTGTCAGAGGTACAGTTGGGAATAAAGGGGTTGTGGTCTCCTACCTCACTGCTGGTAAACTATCAGAGCTGGCTGACCTGCAGATGCCCCAGATGACCCTAGTACTGGAGAGCCAGAGAAATGCAAAATACAAAGCTGACTTGAGTTTAAGGGAGGGTTTTCCCCACGTTACATATTCTCCAAGAGCACAGGTAATCTGTAACATTGCCTGTACAGGTTTTCAATAGTTACACATTGGGCCACAGAAGAGGATGAACTTGTCTTAAACTGTGAAATTATAAATGCTGTTAGTAAGAGTTGGTATCTTTTGCTTTGTTTTTGGTGCTAGGGTGTGTAAAAGGGCTCCAGTATTTCCTCCACAACCAGAGGAATCACGGCTGAGTAGGTGAGAAATGCAAGCTTGGCCTTATTCAGACACCTTCCTCTCTTGGAAAATAAGCACTAGAAAGCCCACCAAGTCTTATGACATCAGCAGTGAAACTGAACAAGCTGGTAGCATCACATTTGTAAAGGCACATCTGTGATAAGAAACATGCATTTTGGCCCAGGCATCTGGAGGCAGTGTGGAAGGCAGTATTTTCCACCCTGTGCTCAGTGTGCACCGCAGCTCTCACAAGAATCCCCCTCCTGCATCGTTATAGGGTGGCTCCCCAAACCTGGTGATGCCCCAGACATCCTGGCTGTGGCTGGCAGGCTCAGCAAGCAGGCTGGGAACAACCTGAGTGCCCAAGCTTGAGCTGCCCATGCTGCCTCTGAAATAACAGGGCATGGATGTAGGGAGCCCCTCAGTTTCCAGTCCCTCTGTCCTGATCTCCTCTGCACAGCCCTACAAGGACCAACTGGGCAGTGGAGGGGCTGGACCAGACAAGGGAAGAAGGCAGTGGCCACAGCTGTATGGCTGCAGTGGGACTGCTCTAAGCCCTGTCAGGTTTTGTCGCAAACACCCCCCAGCTGTTGTGAGGCTTGTGGAGAGGCTGTGAGAGCGAGGAGGGTTGGCTGAGCTGAGGACTCACCCAGGAGCAGAGCCAGGAAGACCGCACGTGTGCTGCTCAGCGCCCGGCCGCGTGTCCCCATGGCGGTGGGAACCTCCTCCCTGCTCCGGAGCCCAGGCTGGAGGTGCTGCTGTCCTGGAGAGACCCAAATGCTCTGTTAGTAATGGCTGGTTTTCAGGCCTGGGTGGATGGGCATCATGTTCCCTGTCAGTACCCACAGAATCACAGAACCCCAGGGGTTGGAAGGGACCTGGGAAGATCCCCCAGTCCAACCCCCCTGCCAGAGCAGGGTCACCCAGAGCACATCACACAGGA